AAGGTTGCTTGAAGGTCAGATCGCTAATCAGCCAGCTGCGGAAGCTGCCAGAAGTGGGCCAAGTGCTGTCAAAGACTTCGAGGGTGGTGCCATCGCAACAAGTACAAGCCTTGGCAGTGAGAATAAAGAAGGCAGCTCAACAGGTGTTTCATGGTCATTTTTTTAAAAAATGTCATAACTTAGTTATCCGGAACTTTAGCAAGCTATAGTGCTCTATAGTGCACTATAGTGAACTTGTACTTCATCTTAACTTTTATAACTGCCGGGTCTCACCTTGTAGGAACGAGTTTTGGAAGCGTGCTCCACTTTGTGACTAAAAGACTAAAAACAGGTGATGCGGTGACCCTCAGGTGGATTTTCTGGGAATGGTGCTCGATGAGTGTGGTGCTAGAAGTACGAAACAACATCACTCAGCTCTTTGCTGGAGCAATCAAAGGTAGACCGTAGGCGTAGAGATTCTCCCTTGCACGACAGTAACTCCTCTTGAGCTGCTAGGAGTTGGGTCAGATTGTGAATCGGCCGCGGTTCAGTATTCTTAAGAAAGCAAAGACAGAGGGCGACCTGGAGACAAGACCAAAGTTATGCTTGCGATTTTCAGCGGAAGTGGACATCCGCGAGGTCCCTCTACTTAGTCCAGCCAGCAGTCCTTCCAGCCCAGTCAACTCGAAACAGTTCCAGGCAGTGTCTCCCAACAGCAAGTCTCCAGGTTCTCACGCGTCAGATACCCTTACACTCCCGCTTTCACGGACTATGGCGCGGGAGACGCGGCGGGGATCGCGGGGATGTGAGTTGCCGCCGTCTTCACCGGTTGCAGCAACTCGGTCAGAGGCTGAACCTTGCGTTGGGCCATTCACGGTTGAAAAGAGATCGCAGGGCTTCAAACAAGAGGTCGAAAGCCAAAATGCTGTCCGCTTCGAAGAAGGCTCTGCATCCAATGCTGCAGGATTCCTGGTGTGGAAAGAGCTTGATTCATGCGCCTTCGAGCCTCAGGTCCAACAGTCCAGCTGTGCAGCTGCTGAGCACAAGGAACCAGTGAGTCCGGCGAGAGAGCAAGGAAACCAGAACTCCATTGCAACTTTCGCCCGGTATTTGTACCAGATTGCAAGACCCAACCACGAGAGCACCAGTGGAAAAGTGGAAACGGTGCAACATCCAGCTGACAAGGCTGACAACCATCAGAACCAGCCCATTGATTTACCAGTTCAACATGTTCAACAATTGCAAACGACTCTGAATTGTCCCGAGGAGCTCGTGAGGTATCACAGACATCACAAGCATGGCAAGCATCACAAGCATCACTCTTCCCGCCCTCACGACTCCCACAGGTCTTCTCACTCGAGGCGAAGGAGCTGGAAGGTTGAAGGCGAAGCCACAGCCATCCCAGCTCCGGGCAGCGGAGCCATGCCCAAAAAAGGTGGCAGCTGGGAGAACCTCCCAAGCTCGAACGAGAAGCATGGTTACCACTACTACGGTACATGTGAAGCAGCGTAGCTGCAATTGATGGATGGACTGATGGACTGTCATAGTGGGTATAGGATCGCATGTACTCTTATGTCCTTTTGACTTGGCAAAAGATTTCCCACTTCTTGAAGAAAGCAGCAGCCAACGCAATTTCTGGTGCTGTAGGTTACCGATGAGATGGTGATCACCGCGCAGCGGGGCGGATTGACGCCTGATCTTGAGAACAGGGTTTTAGAGCGCGCATATTTCCTGTTCATTAATGGGGTCTCTGACGACCAGTGTAGCAACTACTTTGAGGCCTTGAGGGTTGAGCTTGGCCTCATGATGTCTTCAAACCAAATGGTCTGAGCATCGACAAAGGCTCGAAGTCATGTCCAAACGCATCCAAGATGATTTGACATTTCTTTTGAGCGGACATTCTTTTGGAAAGCTTGTCAATGATGCTCTGTTGGCCAAGTCTTCCTTTTAAGAAGTCCTCGCCAGCTGCATGAAACATGCGGAGCCGGAAGGCGATAGACGCGAGGCTCTCATTGCGAGTCTGCTGTTTCAAAACGTAGCCCAGGGCTTCCGCAGTAGAACCAGACCAGTGGCAAAGTCTGATGGAAGATTGGCAGACAAAGCAGAGGTCTGCTATTCTTCACTTCCATGACGGTCTGCTATTCTTCAAAGTCTGGTATCCTGAAACCATGCTGGCAAGAGTTGTCCCTTTCTGAAATCTTAGGTGCGAATCTTCGAAGATTTTGAAGATGAGCAGTGACTGGGATTATATTCGGCACCTGACAATATATGCATTTGTATCAGAACTGAAGGACCTTTGCTTGAGGTTGTACAATGACATTCGGACTGCTTCCTGTAGTGGAAATAGTTGTTTGTGTTGTGGGGCGCTCAATTTGGAGGTGTCTTCAAAAGGACACCCAAAATCCATCGAATCCTTGGACTGAGGTGTTTCTATTTGATCATGGAGCCATGCCGCGGAGGGGACCTGCTGGAGCGCTTGTGTCGGGTCTACCATCAGTTTTTCCTCGTGATTGACGCATTATGACGCAATCTGACACAATGACATAAGGAATAGTGGCTCCAAGCGGAATGACTGCACCAAGAGGGCCAGTTGAGTCGCGAGCATGCTATTGTTGAATGTCGTCCTGCAGCATTTGCTCAGAGGAAGACCCCGCCGGACATTTTGTAAGATGGATCAGCAGGCAGCTTCAGATGTCAAGATGAACACCTCGAGCTGTCTAAGACCAAAATCGTTTGAGAACATTCTTTTTGCCATGGCGAAGGGACGGGGTCGCTCGGGCCTGGTCACAAGCTCAGCCAGTTTTGAAGTGGGAGATTTCTTAGCTGCTATGGCTAGGTTGAAAACCCTGGACTAGAGTTTTACGGCAAATTGAAAAGCTCAGGTTGGTTGTTCGCTGACAGGCTTTGTTGCTTTTTTTGGTGGTTGGTTGGGCGTAGAGATTAGCCGTCTAGTAGCTGTACTTGCATGTATGCTAACTTGCATGTAGCTTGTGTGTGCAAGTTTTATGTTCACAAAGTCACCAAAATGTCCCACCGGAACATTTTGGCTCAAGAGTGAGACTGTGCTGGCAGCACGAATCAGAGAAAAATCACGGTAGACAGCCTTCTTTTCTTTCAGCACTTAGATATGGCAGGTGCTAGGCGGATGTTGAAGGTCGAGAGCCCAGACATGACTGAGTTGAACCGTGAGGCAGACAAGACCTCCGTGGAGCTTCGTGCCGATGAGGCAGAGGTTTCTGAAGCTCTTGCTGCACACGGCTCCTCCGAAGCAAGGGTACGCCCTAAGACATGGTATTCAACGTGACGCAGGCTTTGCAACACACGCGACCCCCACAACAGCCGCGACAATATAAGTAGCGAGCTTCTTGGAACAGAAAGCTTCTCAGAGTACGGTTGACGATGGTGGTGAGGTCCAATGGACATTGACTATGTTGAAGGCAAAGGCAAGGACAAGACAAGGCTTGCGGCTTGCCCCTACTTCAATAGACCTGGACACGTAGCCAACTCCAACGTCGCCGCCTTCGATCGCCAAGGACTCAAAAGGTAGCTCCAAGGGTTCTCCAAGGGTCTGCGAAAGGCAACCGTTCCAAGCGATCCAAAGGTAGTAAGGACACCGGCAGGACCTACTTCACCGCAATCTCAAGGACAGATGAGGCATCGATCATGTCATTGTCCTTTTGATCTTCACAGGCCAAAAAGGATACCCTTTGGCTTGAACTGAAGATGCTGGTGAAAGTTCGATGCAGTTGACAAGTCTGTGCTCTTGCAACGCCTGGAGCCACGGCTGAGGCGCTGTGACAGACCAGGCATCGTCCCAGAACTGCTGTGGCCATGTTCTCCATGAACTTTTTGCGTACCATTTCAGCGCTGCGAGTGGCGCTTGGCTCCTCTCTCCTCGGGAGCTTGGCAACGGAGCTTGGGCTCAAATTTGCTACTGGAAACCTCTTTGTCTGCGGTGTAACTTGCTTTTTGCATGCTTTAGTTGGTTTTGTGGTTTCCGCTGCTCACGCGTGGAATCTTGCTTTTGATGTCCATGGTGTGACGGTAGGCCGGCTAGGGTCTCACTCGCAGCTCGAAGAGCTACTCCTGAAGCCGTTTAGCCGCTGCACTTGCGTGTGCGTACCATGTATATATGATGTAGCCTCTTGTGGTTTACAACAAAGCTCTGATTAGAATGATCAATACTTGTGAAGCCAATCAGGAAAAACGCTCGCTTCGCACTCTCAGTGAAGCTATTTCGTTGCATTGGGTTCCGAGAGGCTAGTGAATTTTGAGGCGAACATGTTGGTTGGTTTTCTGTCAACTTGTTTGAACTTGCCAACTGTCCAACCGCAACGAGCTCTTCATTCATGCGCTTGGCAACACATCACGATCAGACCTGAAGGTTTCTTGAGTTTTTGTTTTCTGTTTGGGTCTTGGTCTTTGACTCTTTTGGCCCCCTGGCGCTGCGCAAGGTGTTGCTTTGTGTGGCGCTGGCTGTGTGTGCAGGCGGAAGCCGGATGACGCCCGGGCTTCTAGATTTGACATGGTTGGGATGTCTTGGGACGCACAGTTTTAATTCTCTTGTTGCCCGTTGCAATGCCAGCGTGTGACTTGTTCAAATCGCTTCTGCGGACTTCCAAACTCATGGGCTTGATTCGGCGCAGGTACAGGCTTCGTGAGTAATCCAGGAACACCAAGGTTGACGACCAAAGCCAAGGCTGGCAACCTACAGACATAAACCACCGGCTCTCGAACCATCCTTTGATCCAGTTTACCCATCTACCGTGCAGTAACTTACCCTTTGAAGATTTGACCTGTTGATGTTTTGCATTGGTTTTGTTGTGTTTGACACAATTGACACAAATCAATAACTGCGTGAATCATTTGAGCGTGACAGCTTCCAGGAGTCAGTAGCAGCTCGGCACGATGGTCCAGTGTACCTTTGATGCAAAGATTTTGCCAAAACCGGCCCATTTTTTTTGTCGTTGAGTATGGTTTTTGGACTAGCTAGCTTGATGAAGGGACGCACGCAAAACATGCCCAGATCTATTTGCTCCGAAGATATGCCGGCTTTCTTGTTCTCAGGGAGACCGTAGCCCCCCCGCAGCTTGACTTTTCGACGAAGACGGCGGAGCTGGATAGTTGGCAACTTGCTGAAATGAGGGCTATGGGTCTTGTTGGAAGGGCTGAATTTGTAGCAATATTATTGCAGCGGACCGGGCGGACATCATTCTGATTCTATCCTGGGTCACTGCATCGTCTTGAGGCCAAACCTGCCCAGCCCAGCTCTTGACATGCCTGATCTCTGAGGCTTTCCTCTCTTCCCGGCTGGCTTTGGCGTGCGGTGATCTTGTTTCTTACTATGCTGTGGGCTACAAACTTCGCAGTAATCAAGGTGGGATGTGCAGTATGGGAGAAGCTATCGGTTGAATCACTTTTAATACATACCCATCGTATGCTTTGTACCATGCATGCCCAAGTCTTGCACGTTGCTTCCCGAAACACCTGAGAAGCAAAACGGGTTTCTTTGATCAAGACGTAGAAGCCAGGACATCACAGCTCAGCCCGGTGTCAACACGCAGATGCCCCTTAGATGAAGCCAGTAAGATGCAGCATGACCGGCTAAGTCTTACAGGTGTCAAGCCTGCAAGCGTTTCTGTGTTTCATAAATTTCAGGCGTCTTGCCATCCGTTTTTGCTGTTTCCTTTATGAGGTACGCGGTGTCCCGCTTCACTGTGGCAGCCGGCGTGCTGCTGCCTTGGCATCTTGGCAGCGGAAGCTGATTGGGCAGGACTTACAGTACAGACTTACTGTCCTCCACAGCATACAGCAGCCTTTTGTTCTACATTGTGTAGCTATGGAAGTAGCTCTTTGGTGTGCCAAAAGCTGTACACTGGCAAGCAACCCATCATCCGGTAAAGATGTAAAGTGAACAGAAGGCATGCTCAGATCAAAGCCAGAACCGGTGAAGCGAAGTGTCGAAGCCTAGGATCAGCAGCATCTCTTCGCAGAAGGTCTTCTTGCGCGCCGCGGAGTGTGGTAGTTGGTTGGCATTTGGCTATATCGGCCAGGCGGCAGACATGGCAGAAACGGAGGGATGTTTAGAACATGTTTCTCATCGCTATCACAAGAGTTTTGATGAAATGATGAACCGAATGGCGTTGGACGAACCCGCGCATTCATTAAGCACTCTAATTTGCTCTCGCTGCGTGCTTTTGTTTCCTTTAAACCTTTTTGACTTTTCTCACTTTTTGACTTTTTTGCGTTTTGCTTTGCAAATAGATCGTCGCCAAAGGATTTGGCGAGCTCAGGCTTGGCTTCTTTGGGGGTTGCTCCAATGAACGAGAATTTCTCTGAACAGTGCCATTGCAGAGAGCTGATGTGTGGACTCTCATATGTGTGCTCTCACGTCAATGTGTGTGCCCTCATGTGTGCTCACTCATGCCCGTGCTCTAGTGACTAGTATTTGTGGTCTCAAGTGTTTGTCACTCACATATTAGTGCTCATCCATACCCATACTCTCATATCTATGGTTTCACTTGTGTGTGCGTATATATGTATATGTCCATTAACTACGACAGGGTGTTGCCTTCTCAAGCTCAAGAGGGTGCATGAACTGGGGTGCTGTGCTGACTGAGGGTCTTGCCTTCGCCACCACTTTCTCCTCTTCGCTGTCCTGTCCTGCACATTCCTATCCTTCCACCTTGGTCCCTTGGATTTCTGGCCTGACCTTTGGACTTTTCCTTGGACTTTTTCGTGGACTTTTTGCTCCCTCACTTTCCCGGTGAGATCTCATCAGGCTGAGCCGGCGAACGCGCCGCTCCGCCGTCGACCTCCTTCTCGCCTGCAGGGCTACTTGCGCGAGTGAGGATTCTGGCCTGCGACAGGAGATTGTGGAGCTTACTGAGGCCGTCAGAGATCTAACATTGGTCCTCCGCCAGCGTGATCTGGTGAACGAAAGTCCGGTTCGAGGGAGTAGCAGTCTGGAGGATAGACAGCGGACGGCTAGTGCTTTGTGGGAATTGGTGGAGGAGAGTGGATCCGTTCCAGGTGCACCTACTGGATTTTTGGTCCGAGACGCACTCTTCAGCTTCGAAGAGGGTCCCCCAGACACCCCTCAGTTCTGTGTGGACGCTGCCAAAAGGCACCTCACGTTTTCGAGATTTAGTTCAGAAGACAGGGCAAGGGCAGCATTCGGAGCCGGGCATTGGGCAAGGGCCTTTTGGGTTTCTCGATCCCCATACCGCAGTACCTACAGGCCGACCTTGCCGCCTGTCCATTGGGTGTTGAGAAAAGGAGACGGATTTGATTTGATTCGAGTGTCATCGCAGCGAGACTGCCAGCAGCTTGAGCGGGACTTCCCTGACATCGTCTTCATTGAGAAGCTTCCCTCGCTTACCGAGCTGCACATTTTCTGTGCAGGAGCGAAGTCGCCTGTTCCTCCCTTGTGGAAATGGAACGGCATCAGCTCGCGGTAGCTTCACAGCATGTGGACCCATCGCTGCTCATCTTTACAGTTCCATCGGAGATGGCAGCTACGGGATCAAAAATTCAGGCTTTTGCGCTCCCCCTTGATCTTCGTCGAGGAGGATTGACGCTTGCAGTTCCTTGGTATTTTCCAGGAGGAGTTCCTTTCACCTCTTGGGGGTTTTTCAGAAGATGCTTTGCTCGGGCCTTCCACTACATTTGAAGTTGATATAATACTGGAAGAGGACGAGCTAGGGAATGTCTTTTCGAGTGGCTTCAAGTCTGAGGTCCTTGTTGCAGGTTTCACGAATTCAGTCTTGCCCTTTTTGAGGGAGTCTGAGCCCGTGACGGACTCCCTCATTGATGTGGTTTCCTTTTCTGAGAATGCTCCTAACGCTATGCCGGCTGCTCAGGAGCTTTTGTCCATGGCTTTGACGTGGGCAACTGGCGCTGATGGTCGTGTGCATTTTTAGTGCTCGAGAAGAGCCGGAGACGATTCCCAAGACCGCTGCCCCAAAGAAGGCAGGTCCCAAGCGAGTCACAAATGCCACTCTGGCAGAAAGGTTATTTCTTGTGATTTGGGGTTCCCAAATGATTTGAGGTTCCAAATGCTCAGCCTGGAAGTGTGTTGAGCTACACTGTCTGACTTGAGATGTTGACTCTGTTCTGATGTTCACTCTGAGACTGGAAGCATGAAATGTGCTCTTGGAGACATGTCAAATGTGCAGACTTCTGATTGTTCTTTGTGATTGGAAACGTGTACAGACTTATGACCTTGTCGTACCTGGGTGGGGTCAACGGTTCGAAGAAACTGTGTTTTGTTGCTTTGTTTTGAACTGTTTTTTACTCTTAGTGCCTTCACACGTGCAATTATTTTGTGTGCAGGCAGCATTCCATTCTTTGGAAGATACTCCCTTGGTCTGTTTAACTTAATGATGTGGCAGCTTCAAAGTTACTTAGCATAATGACAGGAGCGTTCAATAAAATGCAACCTTACTTTCGGCAGCCCCGTTGCTTTTTTTTGCTCAGCCGCTGCCTGAACCGTTGTATCTTGAAGGTGGTGCGGCCCTGAGAGGCTATCACCGTCGCTCATTTAACAAGAGATGAGAGGACAAGTGGGCATGACGATTGCGAGGTTGAAGCAAGGAGGTCATTATTGATTATTGTTATTTTCCCTTGTTTGAAGTTGGCAGGGAAAGGAATTTTGGCTCAAAGTCCTTAGTTCAGTTTTGATTGGCGATATGATGCCCGCGTTTTGTATGATGTTTTCTCTTTTATGCAGGATGCTAACATTTTATCGGATGCTTCCTGATGATGTGGCCCGAGCCCAGTTTGAGCAAAATGTGGAATCGTTGAGGGAAGCGGTTCAGGCTTTGTTGGAGCATGTGGGCGCCAGACTTGAGACATTGCCTCACCTTTGGCGGGCATGCACAGTCTTCCGGCTGGCTTTGGCCGAAATTGGTTTTGATCATGATCAGCTCAACAGTCAAGCCGCTGTGTCCCCTTCAACTATGATTATGGAAATGAACATGCGAAACTGTGCACCCCTTCAGAGCCCTCACAAGCAACCAATTGCCATGTTGGAGAGATGCCCTTTCTTGCACGTCCTTACAGAAGATATTGCGTGTGGGAAACAAACCCTCATTGAATTGCAGTGCGGGGTGGATGAAGATTGTGGCCTTTTCGATTCCTTAACTGACATGATTTTGTTTTTACAAGATTGTGAAAATTTTGCCCGGACCGTTTTGCCCACAGGTGGCTAACCGGTGATTCAGTGTTTATTATTTTGTTCGTGGATGAGCGCCGCCTGATGAGAAAGGTTTCAAAAATATGAGAGCTGGAAATTCAAGTGTTGGGTGTCAGTGTCAGTCTCTGTGCATGGTGCTTCTGAACTCGGCCTCTCTTCAGGCCTCGGTCGAGCTGATGTCTTTTCTTCCCAGAAATTGTTACCCAGAGGTGGGGTATAAGTTGGTCGAATTTCTACTCTGAACCGTTCTTTCATCAACCGTGTGTTCAATTCTTTATTTTTTTTGCTAGCATGCTTCATGATTGTTTCTGTGCAGGTCGCAATCGTCTTCGAGCCCTTCGCCGTTCCTCCGGATTCTGATGGACAGTGCGAGCCTGAAATTTGCAAGGTCAGGGGTTGTTGATTTCCAGGACGGCTAGCTTCATAGGTTCATATAGGTCTTGATGTTGATTGCAGTCGAGGATGTTAACTTCATTTTCGGATGTTTTGGTTCCACCTGTCCATGAAGTTTCATACATTTTTCCTTGAGCATGCACAGTTGAGTATGTCTACATGTATGATGTATTTGTAAAAGTATATGTATATGTCCATGTGAATGTGTGAAAATGTAAATGCTTACGTTGTGTGTTTATCCATATGCAAAGGTATATGCATGTCTTCATGTCATGATGTATTTAAGGGATGTGTAAGTTGATTTGTACGTGTATTGATGTGTGTACATGTATACACGTACATGCGACATGTACATGTGTGTGTGCATGCGTTTGTGCATTGTACAACATGAGACCACTAGCAATGCGTGCCCAGGTCAGGGAGACTTACCTTCAACTTCGTGGCTGTGGTGTGGAACTAAGTAACTAAGCCTGCGATGAAGCCATGATGGTTGAGGTCTGGTGATGTGCCGCCTGTTCAGTTTTTTTGGAAAGACTCCAGGTGTGATGGTGGCCTTACCCAGACAAAGGCACTGCAGAGCTGTGCAGCAACTGGTTAGATGATCAGACCGTCCGTCTTAGTTCTCCCCCCAGGATGCTGTGAATGCTGTGTCAGGGACTCTGTGTTGCGTACAAGCCACGGTGAGAGTGAAATGTCAAAGTCCCTCATACCACATGCGTAGTGATTTTAGGACTGTACCAGACCCGCGCATCAAGATTTTTGAGGCCCGGTAGCCTCTTCTTTGGTCTGGTGCAGCTCTCTCAGACTGAAAGCTTGCGTGTTTCAACGTGGTATTGAAAGGGTTTGCTGCTAGTCGGGTGTATGTTCAGTTACTGTGGCGACTTCAATTTCAGACAGGTTGGCGGTTCTTGCCGATGTCAGGCCATTGGTAACTTTTCGCATGGATCTCAATGGCTTCCAATCGCGAACCCAGGCTGTCAGGTTGTCGGTTTTACGTGTGATTCGGAATGATTGAAATGGGTGTCGCCCTTGACCTTCAACATTTTCACTATGCGTGAGTTCCACAATCGTATTGAGGTTCACCATTCTAGCTGCAATGTCTTATGCGTTCGTGTGACCGCTGGGCAAGGCTTCGCAAGTGCTTCGGAACTCCTTTGGAGGCTGGGTGTCGTCACTTTGAGCCCAGCCACAGCAAATTCTATGGTATTCTCATCGTTGTTTCATTTCAAGTTTTTCAGCGCTTCGTCAGTGTTTCGTTTCAAGTTTTTCAGCACCTTTGTCCATGCTGCAATGAGATGCGTTGCAGACAGAGCAAAAAACTGACGCCTTGCAGTGTTTTGCTTGCTTTTGTAGCGTAGTTAGTCAGCCGACGCGACATGCCTGCTTCCAACGTTGTGAACGCTCTCTCCGACAGTGAGCCCGTGCCCCAACATTCTTTTTTTTGAGCCGCTGTGTCACAGCACA